TACGATACCTGTTTGCGAGTGATATACCAACCAAAATGTTAGTGTTGAGGTTACGCAAAATAATTCAAAGGGCATTTAAGGCACTAAAGATTATTATAAACACTTTCTATTCATCAAATAGAGATTTTATGACTGATGGATGAATTTTCTACAGCTGATAGCTTGTTTTGCATTTTTAAATCTAACTACTGTTGTGAAGTAAGCTACGTTGACGGACTTTCAAAGAATTCGCATTTTTGTGCCCATAATTATTTCCCAGGAGGGCTAAGCAAAAGTGTAGTTATAATTGTTTAACATGTTCTGCAGCCCATTTAATATGACTGCGTCATACGGCTAGTATGAATCAGTTGTTCACATTAACATATCGCTTAAATCTGTCAGAGTCGGAGCCATCCGAATTTCTGACATAATAGCCATTTGGATAAAGAGTCCAGAACAAAGTTGATTTGTCCAACCGCTTGAGTTAACCTGGTCAACTGCAGGCTAGATAAATCAACAAGCACTTTTTAAAAGCATAAAAACACATTATAGCACTAACTTTACAGAAAACATTTAGTAGATATATTTTTTAGAACTTAACTGTCTCTAAAATTTCATCAAAAGAGCCTTAAAATACCGACGGTTAGATGCACAATCAACGACAAACATCAGCAAACAAATAGTTTCGCTCCATATAAAGATGGTCTTTAATATTACAAACAGATCATTAAAACCGCTAGTAACAGGTGTAGCTTATAGGCCAAACAAATCCCCGCAAACAAAAGACAAACCAAGCGTCAACTAAAAACTAAGTGCCAGCAACTGCAATAAACACTATACAGGGAAAAAAAGCCGCCCTTTTTGTCTGCGTCTGCATGAATATCGGTTGGCTGCAAAATGATACGATATAACTTCACTCAGATTAATCCATGTTGAGATTTGCAGACATGAGTCCCACTGGGAAAATTCCGGAATATTGAATGGAATAAACACTGAGAAAGTCAAGAAGTTCGTGGAAGCCTGGCACTTTATTCAGGTATCAATCAATGGACACATAAGAATCAAACCAAATTTGTTAGTTAACAAGGGTAAGTAATAACGAAGATAACGCCAGAGTTTGATTCGGAAACAAAAGTGACTAAATGAAGCATATAAGTGGAGACGAAACTGCTATGAATAACAACCAATAAGACTTCAGGTCAATAGAACAAACTGTTGGTCAATTATGGATAAATTACAGTTGCTCACTTAACTTTGGATTGTTTGCTAGTAGTATCGTGCAAAATAACAAGAGCTTTACAAACATTCCACCTAGCTCAGAGATTACAACACTATCAACATGCGCATTATAAGTTACAAATGATCTCTGCCATCTCGGTAAGAGCAGTTTTACTCTATGCTTGTGAAACCTGGCCTCTCCAAGTTGAGGATGTTAGACGACTCTCTGTTTTTGATGATCGTTGTCTCCGAAGGATTGCTGACATCCAGTGGCAACACCATGTTAGTAATGCAGAGGTTTGGCATCGTGTGTTCGGGCACAGAGACGATAATGCGATTGGTGTCACCATCTTGAAACACTGACTTCGGTGGCTTGGACATGTTCTATGAATGTCGTCCCAGAGAATTCCACGTCGTGCATTATTTGCCGACTCTGGGACTGATTGGAAAAAGCGGAGAGGTGGTCAGTGTATGACATGGTGTCGGGGGTAGGAAAGAAAGCTGCAAAGGGCTTGCTTCTGATAGTCCTTCACGACTCCCTGGCTGGGGTCTGAGAGGTGGTACAACGCAGCGGCTAGAGACTTTATCAGATATGGCTCAGAATAGAAGCCCATGGCGACCCTGCTGTAACCTTCTTTTACTTTCTTCATAAAAAGCGGTTATGTCTTGCTTAACTGAAAAAATTCTCCTGATTGTATCTTTCCGTTTCCCCCATTATTATGATTACTACACTACCTTACACTAATCTGTGGTAGTTATTGTTCTTTTTTTATACTCACCTTACCTTCTTTTTTCTCTTTCCATCATCATGGCTTTGTGTGGCGTATACATAACTGGTGCCCCCTTGTACCAATATTTATGTGTTTAAATAAAGTAACAAAATCTGCCATTTCAATAATAATTTCAATATAGAGCGGAATAAGTTGAAAATTTAATAGTCACCCTTGTATTTTCATGACTTCAAGTTAATTTATTAAAATATCGCTATTACCACTCACATATCTTTTTAGATAGTGAAAATTCCTATTTTGACATTTGGTAAATAAAGAAGGAACGATTTTGGTCTTTCATCATGGCTCTACACTAATATATCTATATCATTTACAATGATGACATAATACTCATCGAATGGATATGTTGCGTAATAATTACATAATGATATTTCGATTATAAATTAACATAGAGTAATTGGAAGTAAAAGGATTGTTAATATTCAAAGTAATTACTCGAAAATCAAGAAGTTGCTATGTTGCATAATATATAAAAAGAAAAAGAAACAGAATATTTTAATGATTGGTCAGTTGAATAGTAGTTATGTAAGAATCAAGGGATGAATGTTGAGAAAAAATAAGAAAATACAAAGTTCAAAAAACAAAATGGAAAAAGTATGAAAATAGTTTTGCTACAAGCGTTCCTATATCGATGGCCAATGTAGCGAAAGTGGTTGAACAAACTCCTTTATCATGCAAAGGTTAGGTTTGTGAACATGGATTGTGATGGCTTCAGTACTGTGCAAAAAACGCATTCGTAAACCATGTGGCAAATTTGGTGGAATATGGTAGATAACCTTAAAAGCTTTGTTCAGTTCAACTTGATGACCTGTGTCAACCAAGTGAGCAAGAATAGAATTCTTAATCACTCTTACTTGTCCTTTGCTCAACCACGACGGATGGTGCTCTGTTATATGATTACGAACTTGCCGAATTGTGAGCCATATATAACTAGGTCCACAGGAGCAGTTGAATTGATAAATACACATGGATTTGGCAAGTTCAGGCAATCCGTCTTTATTGGCCGTTCTTATTGTGCGGTGGTTGTAGAAGATAATACAGTCTGACTGCATTAAATGTTTTTTGTACCGTTTTTCTTAGTCTCTGAGTCACAATTTCCTCAGTAGTGTCATCTAGAAGTTGTAAATTTATTAACAGTACTTTCTTAGGAACGGTGGGTATCTTTGTCCTTCTTTTCATTTCCTTCATGTCTCTGTCGATGAATTTCATAGGGTACCCATTCTAACTAAACATGTTACATATATTAGCCAATCCATATACAATAGTGTTATCCGAACAAATCATTCTGGTACGATAAGTCAGGATCTTCATCAAGTTCCTTTCGTATCTAATTGGTATTGCATTATAGAAATGAGTGTATTGTCCTTTTGCAGAATTTCTGTGTAACCCTCTTTTTAAAGTTCCATCTGCTCGTCTAGTTAATTAAACATCTAGAAATGACATGCTTTTGTTCTGTTCTTCCTCTGATGTGAAATTAATTGATGGATGTTATTAAATATATTAGGTAAACTGTCCTTTCCATGTTCTCTTTCTAATACTATGAAAGTATCGTCTGTGTAACGAAAATAACATGTTAAATGGTTAATTGTGTTTTTAAGTGATTCATTTTCAAGTTTCGCAAGGAAAATGTCTGCCAGTAGAGGGCCCTATGGTGACCTAATGGCTACCCCATCTAGTTGTCTATAATGTTCGTTGTCAAATCAGAATTGGATCTTCATCGTGCATCTAAGAATTAACTGTTTTATTGCGGATGTGGGGATGGTGGTTTCTATACGCCTAACTGTTGGTTCATTGCAAATAAAATCCGCCATTAAAAGTAGTGGAATTTTAGTTAGTAAGGACGATATATCTGATGATATCATAAAGATATTATTGACCGATAGATTTTTTACATTCTCAACAAATTCAAGGGAATCCTTGACAATATGCTTAACAATTTCTTTGTGTAATGGTTTGAGAATTCGCACTAACCATTTCATTATGTTATGATAGGCTGAGTTATTCATATCTAAAACTAGTCGAAGGAGCAAGCCACTTTTACGTATTCATGGCAGGCCATGCAGCCTTAGTGTAATCGTTCCTTATTTATTTACCATATGTCAAAATGGGAATTCTCATCATATTGAAACTTTCTGAGAAAACATTTGCGTTAAAGGTTCTCTACGTGTATTTGAAGTATAGCGAAAAGCTCAGTGAGACAAAGACAAATATGATTTTATGGTTAACATTATCACAAATATTTCAAGTGCACAAAGAACTCGATTAGCGATCACCAATTTTCATCATCCCTTACTTCATTTTTGTCATTCTATCCATTAAACATTCTAAAATCAGGGATTTTATTTTATTTGTAGCTACTGTATTATTTCTGTTACCCAATGCTTTTTTATTTAATGCGAATAATAATCACATAAGCTTAGTCAACCTACAAGTTTATGTAAGTTGACATTACACACTAGTCATTTCAGGCTACTACTTTTATTGTACCAACAATCGTAGATACATATGCTGTAAATTTAAACAGATCTATCCATCTCATTTTAATTTACAGTATGTTAATAAATTGTGTAAGTCGAAATTACCAGTGTAAAAATCAAGTAGAAACCTAAGTATTGAATAACGTTCTATCAAGAGCAAATCATTCCTAGTATTTATGTGGTTCACTTGACGCCGTATGAACACTTTTATCACGGCGTGCACTAAAAACGTTAAAGCAAATAATTTGCTGTGATAATCGCTCCTACGAAACATTTACAGCATATCTTTATCCAGGTTTAATGGCTCCGTTTTACATAATGGTTTCTAAACCAGTAATTCAGATAATATAATTTCTACCACTTCGATAAGACAAGCGTCAACATTTGAGGCTTCTTATAAGCTGAAATTTGGTTCTTCATCACAAAATTTCAAAAAATAATTATAAGTCAAAAAGCTAAAAATTACTTCGAACCTACAGTACTTATATGTATAAGAAAATTCGAAAAACGAGCGCACAAAGTGTAAAATACTGACCTGCACGATTTTTAATCCGTGATGCTTCATATAGGTTCAGGCTCATCAGTAATCTTGAAGTCCATGAACTATTTTTCAGATTGATAACAAGTTATGCCTTTTGAAAAGTTTACAAGCAATTTGTGACCTTCAGGGTTTTTTAGGGATTTAAACAAACGCAATGCCTTTTTACTCATCCTTAAGAAAAACTACAACTAACATTGTGTCTCCAAATTCCTTTATTATCTTCTTATTTGCAAATTAAGCAAGCAATTAATTATGCTCACAGCTTTCCTTGGTGATACTGTTTTTAACGCTTACTGCGGATCTAATATTGAAGATCACTTGAGGTGCTTTTTTCTCAGTAGCTACCTTCAATATCAGTACCTCTTCGAGATCAAAGCAAGGTTTATTTGTAACTACATCGATAATCACCTCTGCAGTGGTGAGTAAATCTCAAAATAACTTTGTAAATCTTGGTCAGTGAAGTTATCATTATTAGTTTTACTGAACACACCCCCAAATGAGGCCTCGCGGACAAACACCCACACGAACTCACGCTTTAATACGCCATACTGTTTATCTGTTGTGACAAAAAACAAGCTTGTGTCGCGTGCACTTTGATACATTGACTATTTACAAATATGTCATCATGTAGTGGCAATAGACCATAACCACATCCCATCATTCTTGACTTCTTGATTTACTGACCTGAATATTCTTGTTCAGGATGACGTTCTGAAAAGAGCCGTCGAAAAATATCACGTGCCTGTGAAGTTTCATCAGTGAACGTCAACGTAGTTACGCATATCTTACCGTAAACTGTTAGTTTGTCCATTGTCACGTTTACATATATTTTTATATTGTAAAATTCCTGTGTTCTTCGATCGTTTATCGCGTATTGATATATCTGTTCATCTTTTTGTCCAAAAACGCATTAAACCCTGCAATAATTAGGATCCCTTTTCTTTCACTCTATAAAGAATGTCACGCTAGCTGGATAAGTCTGGTTCTCCCATTCAGAAGCTCATTATCACAAGCATGGCGTGACCGACTCTCCTCATTATTTCTTCACAATAACGAAGATACTACCACGATCGTTTATCAGGTACGTTAAACCTACTGCACTTATAGACGATGTTTCAAAACACTAGGAATCTTTGAAACAACCTAGCTTTAAAGGTAGAGAACTCTGTATCAACCTCACTTATATTCTAAGGATTTAGAATAACCGTAGACGGCTGATAAGTAACCGTAGAATCCCACTAAAATGAAGATCAGCTTCCAGACAGCGAAAAACGAATAATTTTTTAATGGTGTTGACAATGTGCATCACCAATGTAGATGATCTATGTCGAAATGATTGGAGGCCTACTCGAGTTAGAAGTGAATCGTGTGACGAACTAGCTAACGTCGAAGTCACACCTCGTAGTCAGCACCTTAGGCGGAATACCCCATTGACGTATCAAGGTACTGCAGATGCTTTGAAGACTGTACAACACAAAGGATGTTATTACTGAAATATATTAAAACAATCAGTCCCTTTGATAAATTTCGATAATGATATTAGAAGACGAAGATTATCTGAACTATGTGATATATTAGCGCAACGCATTTCGAACAATCTGGTCACACATATACTTGTTGAGAGCATTTATATATAAAAAATAATAGGTCAACTAGACAGGAAACGGGGTAAGAGGAGATAAGGATAATGATAAGAGTAATAATAATAATAATGTGAACACAAAGCAAAACCTAATCACTCTGGATAATAAGTCAATATTACCAGGATAGGTTTAAGATAAGAACAAACTGTTTTTGAACATACAAAGGGGGGTTGAATTTTCGTATGGCTAAGGCTTCAATAAACCTTAGTATACGCCCTTTTACACTTTTATACAACACTACAAACGCTGAATCTAGATCAATCTTGTGACCTGTTTCAATCATATGTTTAGCAATAGAGGATGATGGATGTTTATCCCCTGCTCTTATTGGGTCACTTGATAGTATTTGTTTCTGCAGCCATTTGGGTACATGTTCACAGGTCACAAGATTGATCTAGATTCAGCGTTTGTAGTGTTGTATAAAAGTGTAAAAGGGCGTATACTAAGGTTTATTGAAGCCTTAGCCATACGAAAATTCAACCCCCCTTTGTGTGTTCAAAAACAGTTTGTTCTTATCTTAAACCTATCCTGGTAATATTGACTTATTATCCAGAGTGATTAGGTTTTGCTTTGTGTTCACATTATTATTATTATTATTATTATTATTATTATTATTATTATTACTCTTATCATTATCCTTATCTCCTCTTACCCCGTTTCCTGTCTAGTTGACCTATTATTTTTTATATATAAATGCTCTCAACAAGTATATGTGTGACCAGATTGTTCGAAATGCGTTGCGCTAATATATCACATAGTTCAGATAATCTTCGTCTTCTAATATCATTATTGAAATATGTTAGTTAAAGTAAATACAAGGGGAGGGCCAGTCCATGGCCTACAATTAACTGGTGCGCGTTAGTTGTCCTTGACCTTTGCAGGGATCAATGATCTATTCGATATTCAGTGACCCAACTGCTGGATGATTTAGCTAAAGGCTGTGACATTTCACTGGCCCTACAACACCACAATTTCCACGACAAATATTTCATATACTTCATTAAGCTTTGTAGTTTGCCCATCCTCAAACCTGATGACGCACCAGCCGGCACGTGTCAACAACGACTGCTGTCTACCAACACAGTCGACCACTGGTATGGGTCTATTAAAACATCATAACTTGACTCAACCATGCAGAAGATGGTGGACGGTAACATTGAATTACCTATTCTTATGAAATCTATGGTTTCAGGTTGTGCACAGCTCAATCGACACTTGATGAAAATGCCGAGCTTGAAATCGCCTTGTGCAACTCACATTGTTGCATAATATATTGCGTTGAAGGAGTAATTTATGGTCGTGAAAATATTTCAGCCACCTTGTAAGATGCTGCAGTCTTTTGAATGTGACATAATTGAGCCCCCACGGTTGCAAACGATACGTTTAAGGCTTCCATCATCATGCCTTTCTACATTCCCCAGGATCACAACTGTAATTACTCTCAGAAAGAAAACTTTTCACACCCTTTAGTACCAAACCATCACATAAAAACGGCTCCTATGTATAGTAACAGTCGCAACTCCTTCCAGTTACGCGCAGCAGACCCCTCTTACGCTAACGTCAATAGCTATAACAGAGACTACGAGCCTAACCACCAAGACTATTTTGTAAATAACAATACACTTCACAATAGGCCTGTACAATATTTTTTTGGAATACGACCCCTAGTGACACCTATGTTGAAGCATATAGCCCAAGTTATTTCAAACCACATGCAAAACATAAACTTGTTTCTTCAGTACAGTTTCCATCACAGAGTACTCCCACTCTTTCGTCCTGAGTAAACTCCCCAACCAACTTCACTAGATCATTTGATACATCTACCACTAAGTCTAGCTATCAAAATACCGAGCTATTAAAGAACATTCAATCCCTCACTTCAAACACATCACATACCCGCGAGGGTTACGGCGACTTTGTCCAAGATACTCTCACCCATTTTAACGTAGTAAACCAATTGTTTAATATGTCTTATCAACGCTAGATCGACCTGCAACAAAAAGACGGATCTAGCCCTGTTTGTATCCATATATCAACCATCACTTATAATGATGTCCGAAGCATGGACTAATAGTTATATTTTCGACCGAAGTATATCTCTTGATAACTATTTTCTATATAGAAGCGATAGATTGAATGGACGAGGCGGAGGATGCCTTATTTACGCTCACTCTAGCCTAAACTCACTGCTATGTGATATGCCTGAACTAAACAAACTGAAGGATTCGGGGTGGATTATATTAAAGCCGTCGAATTCCGTTACCTTACTACTCGGCTGTGTTTATCGTCAACCGAACAGAGGCAATAAGTAAACAAAAAGCAATCACACAGGAAAAACGTGCAGTCAAACTTAATAATAACTCCTCTGCACTCACCATACCACTCCAAAATAAACTTAAACGCTCTAAATCGAGAGGGAGTATATTCATTAAAGGCAAACAAGTATACGAAGATCCCAAACTTGTCACAGAATTATTTAGTGAACATTTTTGTTTCCCACTAATTAACGAAAAACCATTTAATGATTCAGAACCAATCCCAGTAACTCCCCGTGAATGTAGAATTCAGTGTACAAAATATCTCCAAGGCAATCAGTACATTGAAACACTCCTACACTGATGGTCCAGATGGTATTCCAGCTAGCATGTTAAAACGTGGAGGTGATGATATGTGTGTTTTGCTTTTCAAACTATTCGCGATATCACTCTCTTCAGCGTGTTACCCTACTGCCTGGAAAACTACACATATCATTCCCAAAATTAAAACAGGACCTGAAGCAAACGTTGAAAATTGCCGGCCTATAAACATAACTTCAGTGGTATCCAGAGTGATGGAAAAATTAGTTAAGGCGGCTGTAATCCAACATCTACTAACTAACAAACTCATCTCGACCTCCCAGCATGGATTTCTTAGGTCCAGATCATGCGATACATGCCTAGTAGACTACCTGAATGATATAACTGTGAAACGAGACAGCGGACTCCTTATATCAGTCCTATTCCTAGACTTTAAGAAAGCCTTTGATAAGGCCCCACACAAAAGGCTACTCGTCAAACTAAAGTCCTTCGGAATACACAACCCACTGTACTCGTGGTTTGCTTCGTTCTTAACAGAACGTAAACAGATGGAAAAGTACGACGACTGTCTCTCGTCCCCTAGACCAATCACCAGTGGAGTCATCCAGGGAAGCGTATTAGGTCCACTTTTGTTTCTTATGTATATAAACGATTTATGTAACACCATAGAATTTGGGAAACCATACTTATATGCTGATGATCTCAAAATAGTATACAGCTATAAGCCTGAGACACTAAGCGAAAGTGTATCCCAGATCCAAAAGGACCTCATTAACTTGACTATATGGAGTGAAAAATGGCAATTACCATTTAACCTCAAC